AGTTGGGCTTGTTCAGCCTGGAGAAGAGAAGGCTGTGGGGAGACCTGATTGCAGCCTTTCAGTACTTAAAGGGGGCCTATAGGAAAGGTGGGGAAAATCTTTTTAGTAGGGCCAGCTGTGACAGGACAAGGGGTAATGGTTTTAAACTAAACCAGGGTAGGTTTAAACTAGATATAAGGAAGAAATTCTTTACAATGAGGGTAGTGAGACCCTGGAACAGGTTGCCCAGAGCGGTGGTGGAGGCTCCATCCCTGGAAGCATTCAAGGTCAGGTTGGACAGAGCTCTGAGCAACTTGGTTTAGTGGAAGATGTCCCCGCTCCCTGCAGGGGGGTTGGACTAGATGACCTCTAAAGGTCCCTTCCAACCCAAAACATTCTTTGATTCTGTGATTCTATGAACTCTCAGCAGGTACCTTTATTGTAAAAGTGCTCCATATGGAAACAAAGCTACTGTAGTAAGATAACTCTTTTATGCTTACCATTAACATTATCATTATTGTATTTTTTTCTCTGATCTTTCATTGGCTACTGTAGTAAGATAACTCTTTTATGCTTACCGTTAACATTAATATTAATATTATTGTATTTTTTTCTCTGATCTTTCATTCGTACTATGGACCAATCTCAGGCCTTCTCAAATTTATACTGGTCCAACACTTTTTTTGGTGTTTCCATATCTGTTTGAAAGTATTGAGGGGAGCAAGAAATAAATCACTAGGAGGTTTTACCTCTTCTGTAGATCCAGAGAGCTCTGTATGCCCAGGACCTCAATATTTCTAGGTAGACTTTTGGGAAATAACTTTTGCAGTATAAAAATGCATTTATGTAAAGGTCCTCATAGAGCTTTCAAAATATATTTTAAATTATCTAAATCCATGTAAAAAAGGCAAGATACAAATGGACAGATTTTTGAAAGTAAAAAGTGCTTCCACAGCCAGAAAAGCACAGCTAATCCAGAATTGCTGAAAAACCAATCTACTTTCATTGGGATGACTAAGTATGGACTTAAGACTTACCTCCAGGCACCTAGATTTGGAAAAAAAAAGTCGCCTTTTTTTTTTCCCAGTCATGCACACGTAATGATTTTAGTGGTCTAGAGGAAGCCAAACACTGCCTGCATTTCTGCATGGTAGCTATATGTGCCTGTGGAAGGGAGATGTAGAACTGTCATTTCTTGCCATATAAACCACACTTTAACATCCTGAGAGTCCAGGCTTTTTTTTCCAGTTTATTCTATTCACCTTCTCCATGTTCAGTCATGACTTTGGAAGGGCTGTCCTCAGCTAAGAAACGTTGTCCTATATGAATTTTTACATCGCGGCTTATCAACTGCTCAGAGAGTAGCGCTCTGAAGGCCAGATTCAGACCTGAATGAGTTGGGAGATTATGCAACGCCACGGCACCCGGCCCCTTTCACAAAGATCCCCCATGTGTGCTGTGCCTCCCGCACCCAGTGGAATAGGTGTGAGAGGAGAGGGAAAGCTTCAGCATCTCAGGCAGTCCTCACCTGTAAATGTAGCTCAGACTGTCCAAGGCCACACCAACTTCTTCTTGTCAGTGCACTTCACTATGGCAAGTCCATTGCATCAAGAAAAGAAGAACATTTCAAGCAAGTTGCATGGTTCCCTGTTTCCTTCTCTATCACCTTCCTTCTACTCCCAGGGAGTTTCCTCTAGGAAGCTGCTTTAATTTTGACCCTAAGTACATCTGTCTTAGCTTTTTATTTCAGTTCCAGAGTTTATTTTCAAAACAAATCTGCCAGTTGTATGCCCTCGCTGTGCTTTGGTTTGCCTCATGAAGCACGTGAAGCAGATTCCTTTTGGATGAAACTCAGCAGGAGGACGCACACCGGAACCATACTTGAAATTTGCCATGGGCAAGTTTACTCGCGGGCTTTCATGGGACCACAGCGGAGCTAGTCCAAAATAACCTCCCCAGAACATGCATACCATGGAGGTAGGGTTTCAGCACCAGCTGTTTCGCTGTCTGCATCTGCTCTGAAAGCGATGCGCTGTTGGCTGATGTAAGCAGAACAGAAGAATGCTGCCAAGGGACTCATCTGTGGCGTAGTACCAGACAGTTTATCATTTCTTCACTGAGTAACCCTTGCCCACCGATGCCGTTCAGCTCA